GTGTAGTTGTGATGGTGGCCTCCACGTGTCGAACGCGTTTTCTGAAAAAGCCGAGGGAGCGTCGCCAAACTTTACGCCTCAAATTCCGGCTTTTTGAATCGGTGGACGCGTTGCCTTGGCTTTTTATAGAGCTATCGATCACTGCCAACTTACACACTCTGAAGATTTCCCATTCTTGATACTCGTCTCCGGCCCTTTTGAAAATTTACTCCGTCCACCCCTTCTCTTTGAACACTTTTGAAAAATGGCAAACCCATCGAACCTTAGCTTAGAATTGAGTCTCCGCAGTGATACGGGCGTGCCGCGTCAAGGTAACGTATGACGCCCTTCTTTCTTATCTTCTAACGGTCCTCTTACAGGTGAAGACTCCGTGATGCAGGACGCCACAACAGCTACGATAGTAGCTCGGAACCTCCTCACTCCCAGAGATAGTCAGCTGTTTTCAGGACGGTCCGATGAGTTGGCCGTTCAAGAGTCCCTGGCTCTCAACGTTCAGTGCGCAGGCTCTGTGTCCAACATGGGCCAACGCCTCCTTGCTCGCTCCCGTCAGGTTGAATCTTTGATGGCGGAGGTGGAGAACCTGAAACAAGAGATCAAACAACTTAAGTACGAGAATAGAACTTTGCATGTGCTTGCCAATAACTATTCGTCGGGCATGAAGAGGAAGCTTGATGAGATGCAAGAATCTCAAGGTCGGATGCAAAGTGACCGTCAACGGCTTGCGTCTTTCTTCCAGGGGCACCTTTTTCCTGGGTCATCCAGCGTTCCGCCAAGTATTGGGGACTGGAATGCTCTATATCCGATGCCTCCCGCTCCTATGCCTCTCGCTCCGATGCCTCTTGCTCCGATGCCTCTTGCTCCGATGCCTCCTACTTCGATGCCTCCTGCTTCGATGACTTCCGCTTCTAGAGTTTTGCCTCGTGGTGGGTCTTCACGCAAACAAAAACAAAAACAACCTTTGTGAAGCTCCATTTGTTAGATACATTTGTAATTTCTCGAAAATTAATGAAAAAGCTTTGTTTTATTCACTGTATTGGGTTGCCTCCCAAGTAGCGCTTTCTTTAACGTCTTGCAGCCGGACGAAGAACACAATCATGCCTTAATGGAACCCACGGCATGGAGTTGATCATTGAATGGATGATGATACTTGAAATGTTCCGGCAATGGTTGAATTTCAAGAGTGGGTGCTCTAATCATTGACATCAACAACATATTAGTCAAAAACGACTTTGGATTTTGAGTTGGTGGCTTACCTACATGCTCCAATAAGAACTTAAGTACATCCTCCACGAAATGCTTCTCAAAACATTCAAGAATTGGATCTTTGTATGGAGTGGAATAGAGATCTGTCCTAAGATCCATGTAAACTCTTTCACCAAATTGGATTTGAGTAGGTGCCTGCAATGAAGAATGTAACACACGATTAATTGAAGTGGGAATTGGAATTTGAGTTGGTGGCTTACCTATGGGCTGCAATATTGGCTCTAAAGTCGCAGCACATTCAACAAATGCACAAGGGATGTTTTCATTCAGATTGGACATTCTGAAGGTTGTGGCTGTGTGATCCACTCCAATTTCCTCCTTGATGAATTCAAGATGCTCCTCAACCACTTTTTCCTCGTGAATTGTTGGAAAGGTGTCCAAGATGTCTTTCTTCCCCTCATCTTTCATGGATTGCATGAACCTGCCAGGGAAGGGTGCATTTGGGGGAACAAAGTTAGAAATAATTAAATTTGGAACAACCTTACTTGAATGGGGTGGTGTAGGAATATTGGGAGGTTGCGGCAAGGGTTGTTCTTCCCTTGCTGTGCCTTGTGCATCCTCCTCCTCTTTGAGCAGTAGCAATTCATCCATGGGCTCATCTTCAACCATTTGTTCTTGAATTTGTTCCATGCATTCTGCATTCTGCCTAAATTGACTGTTCCACTCAGCCAACTTTTTTGCTTGATAGAAATCCTCAATTGGTCGCCAAAATGCGTCTTGTTGAAATGGTTGAGCTTCCCTGCCCTGCTCCACAGAATTCAGTTGTTGAATAACTTCCTTATAATAATTTGATATACCTGAATTTGGATGTGAAGATTGAGGGGAAGGCTGTGGTGGTGCATATGAATCCTCATATGGTTGCCAATATGTTTCTTGGTGAGTCTCCTTAGCTTGATTTTGTGAACCCTGCACCAAAGAGTTTAATTCATTAAGAATTTGATTATAATCTATTGACGAATTTGAGTTTGGTTGGGCATATTGAATATGAGGTGGCTCCCAATATCTTTCTTGTTGAATATTTTGAGGTTCCCACCACATAGAAGTTGAATGATCACTCCAATCCGAATTGTAAGTATTGGAAAACACGTTATTCCTTGATTGAAGATCAACTATATCAACGTTTTGCATTTGGGACCTTTCCATGAGCTGTGACAAAAGATAAGCATTATCAAGTGCCATGTTGTGCTTCTAAAATCAACAAAATAAAACTAAAAATATATACACACAAACGAAAATAAAACAATCCAAGAGATTAGCAAAGTTGCTATTCCCCGGCAACGGCGCCAAAATTTGATGCGAGAATTATACGCACACAAATTAAACCCTCTTTTTATCAATTGTAGTATAAGTATAAGTAGGGATCGTTCTTAACCGGGGATTAGGAGGGATTGCAAAATCACTTGGAAACTGACTCAAAAACGTAAAATAAAGTTTAAAACACTAAACTAGACTCAAAGAATGCAAAACTAAACATTTAAAACACTAAAACAAACCAAAGGACTCAAAACAGCCCCAAAACACTCAAAACTGCCTTAAAAACACAATCTGGGCAGTTTTGAGCACTTTGGTGAATTTGGACGAATGTGTGTAATAAATTGAATCAAAACACTTATAAACACAAACTAAGACACTTTAACACTAAACTAGACTCAAAGAATGCAAAACTAAACACTTAAAACACTAAAACAAACCAAAAGACTCAAACAGCACCCAAAACACTCAAAACTGCCTTAAAAACACTTTCTGGGCAGTTTTGAGCACTTTGACTACTTTGGACGAAATTGGGTAATAAAATGAATCAAAACACTTAGAAACACAAACTAAGACACTTTCTAACTAAGTTGGACACTAAAGCAAGGGGGGATTGAGTTTTGGACGAAATTAAACTAATTGCACAGATTCTAATTAAAACAGATTGTAAGTATGAATGTGATGGAATTGAATGGATGGGATGGCTAGCTAAGGGGTTCATCTCCACACATGTTACACTTGCATAATAAAAAGATTTCCAATTGCATTTCAATAAACCATGAATTCTCAACACCCCAAGTTAACCGTGATGCACTAATTAACCTTCAAATCTTCCTAACGTTATTGAATTGGATGATTGCATACGACAACCCAAAACATTCCCCACAAGTCCCCTACATGATTGCATAATAGAGATACAAGCAAGAATCATTACGCTCTATGAAAATTATAAGTGTTGACGAGGCATTCGTTACTATGATTGCATGAAACTTATGCCAAGAATTCGTTTAACGCGATTGTTTATAAGCAACCTCCACTACTTGTGAATATAAGTTCGTAACTATTAGGTGAAACTCACTTATATTCTAGCGTCATATTCATGCATGAAAATTAAGCGTATACTCTCAATAAACATACATAAATAAGTTATCAATCAAACAGTTAAACAAATTGAATCCACAACTTATGAAACGCAATTAGAAGTAATCAAATCAAAATGCAAGCATAAACATATATTTTGAATCCCCCCCTAGCCAAGGGGGGGGTTTAGTTCCTCATACGTACAAAACAAAGAGAATTGAAATTAAACATTGGAATCGAGGAAAAGAAACACCTAAACATTCCAACAACTCAAACTTGAATTGTATGAACGTTTAGGCACTCTTCTCCTCCTCTTCGTTGTAGCACAAGGTCTAAGGATAGGTTTGGAGGGATGGGGAGTTATGGATGGTGTAGAATGATGTGTTTAGGATAGGGATGGATGTAGGGGACCTCAAGGCTTCTTTTTGAGCAGAAAATATGAAGAATGGTGAAGTATGGATGTGTTATAGAGAGGGGATGAATTTCTGGCGTGAATGGTGAATGAATTGTGTATGAATGGGAATGAATGAATTGTGGCTGCAATGGATGCTTATTTATAGGTGAAAAGGAGGGAATATGACAGCTAGGAACTTGGTGGAAATCTGAAATGGTGATGGGAGATGCATGTGGCTGATTTATGCATGTGATTAAAGGGTAATGACAGCTAGGTTATGATGATGAATGCATGTGCAAAGTTGGATGAATGATTATGGGTGCATGTGGCTGATTTATGGTGCAATGATGAAAGGCAAAGTGCATGTGGCTGATTTGTGAAGGGAATGCATGTGGAATGAATGTGTGAATGATGGCAGATTGTGTATGTGAATGATTAGGGTGAATGTGCATGTGCTTTGACAGCTAGGTTGAATAAATTAAAGGGAGTGCATGTGGCTTGGCTGGAATGATTGGAATGCAATCTGAAATGGGATGTGTTGGTGTGAATTTCTGGTACAAAGGGCCTCCTTTGGTCTTCAATTTCGTCCATCTACTTGGCTTCAAGTATATCCAATCCATTTAACGCCCCAAACTACTCCAAAATGCACCAAAATGCACCATTTTGCATACTTTGCCCTTAGAACCTGAAAACACACAAAAGAAGCATAAAGGACTAAAATAACTAATGAAACATAACGTAAATGCACGAGAACAAGCCATTTAAGTCGCATGAATATGCTCCTATCAGTAAACAACTTTGCTTGGCTAAAGGACAAACATCACAAGCATTATTTGACTTGAAAGGAAAATGCAACAGGTTTTTCGACATGAAATCTAGTCTAGAAGATGATAATTGACCCAGACGTTGATGCCACAACTCTGTAGGGGAGAGAACAAGGTTGCAGACTCGGCATGGACTACTAGATGTTGTGGGAGTCAATGCCACCAAATAATAGAGCCCTCCGTGTTGCTTACCCAAACCAATCACCGTCTTCGTCGTCAAGTCCTGCATAACACACTACAAAGGAAAAAAGGTTACGGAACATGTAATCCACTTGTAATTTGACTCATAAACATCAAATCTACTTTGAAAGTGGGCACACATAACACATCTCGCAACAAAAAAGTAGAACTCAAAGGGACATTCCCAGTGGAGACTATGTGAGCTTGCTTTCCACTTGGTAATAAAACTGATGACAAATGGGTATTTTTGACACCATTAGTGAGTAAATCTGATGAGGAGGTTATATGATCCGTTGCACGACTATTGATTATCCATCGATGTAAGGGCAAATGGGATGTTGACAAACCTGCCTTCATGGCAACGACATTAGCTTTTGGAGGAACGGATGCATCACGTCCTTTATTATTCATTATGTGAAGGATTTGCTGGAATTGGTTGTTAGATAACCCGGACATCACCGACTTCATCTCCTCCAAAGTGGCACATTCGGAAACTTGATTCACTGAAGAAAAAGAGCTGCCTTCCTTTTTAGAAGGCTTGCTTCCTTTTTGAGGCTTGACTTTGTGAAGACGATGCCCCGGTGGATATCCATGAAGCTGGTAACAAGTATCAATTGTGTGATAGTCATGAGCACAATGAGTACAGTGCAGGGGCTTGCGACTGGAGGACCCACGTGAAGCATCTTGTCAAACAGCCATAGCTGTTGTCTCAGTGACCCCACATGAAGCAGTAAGAGATCTTTGTTTCTCTTCTTGGGAAATTGAAGCATAGGCCTGACGAACAGTGGGAATCATTCATCAGTAAGACTTGTCGTCGAATGGCACCATAGCACTCATTGAGGCCCATAAGAAACTGCATCAACTTGTTCCTTTCATTCTGCGCTCCACATGTGCAGGAAATGGAGTCACTGTAAGGCGCTAATTCATCCCACAATTTCTTCAACTTTGTGTAGTACGCAGCAACTGAAAGTTGGTCTTGAGTAAGAGAAACGATGTCCCGTTGTAACTGGAAAATATGAGGAGCATTGCTTTGTGAAAAACGCTCTCGCAATTCCTCCCAAATTGCATGAGCATCAGTCATGTAGAGGATACTATCAGAAATTTCTGAATCAATGGAGTTGATAATCCACGCAACAATCATATTGTTGCTTCTCTGTCATGTAGCATGGTCGTCCGGTTTGATCTTCTCGGTAGGCTGTGTGACAATACCATCAACAAAGCCGAGCTTGTTTTTGGCACTTAGGGACATCCTCATCGCACGTGACCAGGTAGAGTAATTGTCCCTATTAAGGGGCTTCGAAACCAGCATCATAGATGGGTGATTTGAATGATGGATAAACAATAGGTTTGAAACATCAGCCTTGGCATCAGCCGCGGTCGTTAGTGGCCATGACTGTCGACGGAAAAAACTATTGAAAAATAGCAAACAAAGGGTCAGTAGCAAGAACTATAGGATTTTGACCTAGCTCTTGATACCATGTAAAAAATAGAGTAAAAATATATTTTGCAGAAGTGATTTTCTTCTATTGATACCAAGACATTTATACAAAGAAGAACTCTTGATAGAGAAATAAACTATCCTACATTCTAGATATACAACAGGAAAATAAATCTATACAAATCAATTACAAATTTATTTCCTAAACTAAGCCAAGATATAGGAATGATATCGTTGAATACTCTACATAGCAGAGCATTACCAACATTTTCAGTCTTCGACTCCAGTGTTGAAAATAAAACTCGGAAAAACAGTCGTGATGTCCCTGGCGTGTCAATAACATAATTAGAACACGTTTAGGAGAAGAAATGGATTGGGGAAGAATATAAAAACAATTGAACGCGAAGGAATGACAGTAAGGGAAAGGTACTTTAAATATGGAAGGGTCATGTTCTTTAGGAGTGTTGGGTACCGAGTAGCATAGGCTTTCCATTCGTCTTTGCCAATTTTTTCATCCTTGTCAACGTCGGCATCCTCAAACGTCTGAGCTAGAAAACATAGCTTTGAGAGTGTAAAACTTCATAATAAAGGTAAAGAACACAAGTTTAAAACATCCACAATTCTTGCCTTATCGACGATAGCTTCCAGAGTTTCATCCGGCATCTGAATGCCGGATTCCAACAAAGTAGCAACCACCATTTGCCTGACCTGAAAGCAACTGCAGCTTTTAAGGTAGAACCGTAGAAGTAATACAACAGACGAATTAATTGTTTACAAAACTATGATGAACTGAAACGACAGAACTTGTTCACAGTCTCAAACACATCAAGATACTTACTTCTTCCCGCCCGATGTATCCGGTTTGCCTCAAATCATACAACCTAAATGCGACTGCAAGCAACCAAAGAGAAAGAAGAAGACAATGTCATTTAACACGAAACACCTCCAAACTTATTGTTAAGCAGCTGACATTGGGTTGTTGAGTACTTACAATCAATCTTGGCCTCAAGAGAAGCATACGGATGAAACACACTTAGTGCGTGGACAAACTCCTCAAATTCAATCACTCCATCTTTCTTTTCGTCAAAAACATCAAACACCTACATCCCATTTCATCACAGATTAAAAGGAAACAGATCAAAATATATGTTGGTTCAGTGTTCAGACAAGATTGATAACGTAAATCGCTTGGAGTCACATTACGACAGTTGAAAAAAATGTTGCATTGACGTGGAAGGATGAAAAAGCGGCTATTAAGCTAAAGAATGTCACTAAAGAATAAAGATTATGAAATCTTCACACTTTCCTTTTTGCTTGAAAAAAAAAAAGGCAGCAACTAATTAATATATGTACCCGGAAGAGAAATTAGAGCGGATGTGCTCTCCCTATGCATCCGACATCCAGTCTCCCTTCCCGCAGTTAGGATTAGATTAAATTAGAGTATCATAAGCGAGCTTACCCTATCAAGAAAAAGATTTTCACCAGCTAGAGTTTTGAAAAGCGCCAACCTCAGCTCCTCCTGGACATCAACAACAAATAAAATTTCAGCTACTAATAAATGAAAAAAAAATCAAGGAAAAAGATATAATTTCCACGACCCATGTCAAAGAAATTAAAATTAAAAAACAAAAAATTGTAGAAGACGTGCATAAGTTGATGAACCTTGTGAAGTAATCCATCGTCGAGAATGGAGCTACTTAACTTGTTAAACAGTTCGCGCAATGCTTCCACTTCATTCACACTAACTGAGAGAGAGAGAGAGAGAGAGAGAGAGAGAGAGAGAGAGAGAAACATTATTCAATTAATTATTTATTTATTTAAAAAAATATTGTCATTTCTGAAAAATTATATACTGAAGAAAAGCTATGTACAAACATGGAGAGGTGGCGGCGAGTCGAACGACGTCATCGTGGGTGAAGGAAAGGCGGTGAGGTTGACAGTGGCAATCGAAGCAACCAGCTAAGCTGAAGATGAAAGCCTCGACCAGGCCAATCAGTGGTCTGCAAAACGCACAGAGTGTCTCGCCGATCTTCAGCGAGCTCGAACTCGTCTGAATTATTCACAGAAGCAGCACAGATTGGCGTTTGAGTGAAATTTTCTTTCTAATTATTTTCTCGGGAAACAAACAAAGAAGGATAAAAGTTAGAGAGTGAGAATAGTACCGTAAAGCTGTAGGCGGAATAATCTATACGAAATAGAAGGTCACGGATTTGCAATCTGGGTCTCTCAGCCATCGGCGTTTGCAGAGAGAGAGAGAGAGGGAGAGAGAGAGAGAGAGAGTTTGCCTGTGAATGCAGAAGGAAGGGAAAATATTCGTATTATCTTGTTTTATTTAAATATAACTTGAAGTTTATTGAAATGCTAGAAAGACAAAAAATTTAGTTATTAATTCAAATTTTGTAAATAATAAATTTATCATCTCACTGCTTACTGAGTACATTATTATTTTAAAAACAAATCATGAAAAGGACTTTTGAATTAATTTAATTTTTCATTCTTCATTTATTTGATTTTGATTGGACTATTACAACCCTACATGGTGGACAAGTGATATGCTATTATTGTAGTTTTTAATGATAGAAAAATGGAATGTGGGTTTGCCAACCGGATTCTCTCTTGATTTTTTTGTAAGGATTGAGAAATTCGTAAATCGTGTTTATGAATCGTAAATTATGTAGTTAATTTTTGTTAGATATTGTTTGTATTTAATTTTAAATAATAAATTTAAAATAATTTCTACTTGTATAATGTACGATAAATAAACATAATTTACGAATTTCTGAAATCTTTACAAAGAAGATCAGAGAGGATTCGGTTTCGTGGGTTTGTAACATTCCTCCATTTTGTCACATCCTATTCCTAACACGTCATCTTATGATTATTGTACGTTAGTGTTAATAAGCTTTACACGGAACTTAATTGGATAAAACTTAAAAAGGACCCACACTCTAATATGAAGTTACAATTATTAACAAAGAATCAAAAGCATTGATTTGATATTGGGTTCATCTTTTCATTTTCTAAATGTGTCATTTTAAAAAGAAGAATACATATGGAACTTGTATATACCGCTATTATGAAGTTTTGTGTAAATAAAATAAAAAACAAAAAATATTATTGGTATTTTAAAAATTTTATTAGCGACATTTTTTTCAAACAGGAAGGATATGGAATCGTCGATCACTCTATCCTTAATAGCCCTAAGAATAGCGTAGTGGTTGAGCTAGCCAAACTAATCAATGGGGTCCATGTCAACCAAATGACCAAAACATGAATCCTTGAATTTCTTGAGTTGATCTTTTGAAAATCGGCCTCTTATATTACACATACACCCCGAGGTGTATGATAGACAAGAAATGGTGGCAGGCAACACCTCATCTAGTAGACACACGAGTTTTGATGAAGGAAAAGATTGACTTTCAACCTGATTCAACAATGACAAACATAAGGTTTTATACGCACATCAAATTAATAACATAAACATGCATGTGGATGCAAATTTCTTCCTCCTTGATCTTGGACAAAATTGCACCTACAAAACAAATAACACCTTAGATCAAGGCCAAGTGCCTCATGCACCCACGATGAATTGGGGGGGGGGGCGCTTTGGCCGAAGAACCTCTGATGCCAAAGTTAGAATTTAGAGAGAAAAGTGTTTGAGAGTTTTTGGGAGTTTTGCAAGAGTGTGGAACTAGCTTTTTAGAGAAAATAAGGTCATATATATAGGGAATGGAGGTGGCCGGGCTTTAGAGGTTTTTTGTGTGAAAATGGGTGATTTAATTGGTGATTAATGGATTAATTAGGAATTAATCCATTAATTAGCCAATTAATCTCCATCTATATGGAATAATTTGTAGGTTATGAAGTAATTACCTAAGATGAGGATGGATGAGATAATTTGGAATTTGTTACCTATTTTGGACACTTTTGGCTGATTGTCCACTACTTGCACGTAGGTTAACCGGTGTGTCTCAGGGGTGACTTTGTCATTTTCACCAAAAATCCACATGTCGCCTTGTGATTATTTTTGGCTCCACAAATGCCCCCACACCTGCTAGGCTGCTCGTAGGAAAGGGCAGCAGGTGTAGAGATCTTCTTGCTCTAGGAAACTTAGGATTGCTTCCTGTTTTGATGTAGATTCCCTCTTTAATATGAAATTAGATCCTTCTAGATAGGGAAATAAATTTCTCTCAAAGCCTATTTAAGTCCACCTTAAGTGGGTTATTAAATCAACTTTGGAGAGTGATTTATTCTACCCTACAAAAGAGAGAGAGAGAGCTTAGAGGATATTTGTTCCCCCTCCTCTAGCAGTCTTCTACATCTTGCCCGTGCAAATGACCGTTTTTCGTTGCTTTCTTCGTCTTCTCCGCGCCGCACCAATGTAATAAAAATTTAATTTCTTCTTGTCTTTTTCTTGGATAGTGCTGTCGTGAGGTAGCTGTCGGGGTGGTGCGGTACGTCGGCTGGTAGGGGCCAGAGTTGGCTCGGCATGGGCCGACGAGGTGTTGTGGCAGAGACCACTGCTTTAGGTTGCTCGGCTTGGCTAGAGCAAAGGGCATCTTGTGCGGTTGTGGTCGTGGATTGTGGCACTAGGGCGCAGTGCTAGGCGAGTCGCATGGCTTATGTCTTTTGGGCTTTTGGACCTGACACGAGCCAGGCTGGCGATTGAGAGAGATAAGGAGGTCGAGGGCCTCATGGGTTGCTGAAATGTTGGGCATTCAGGCCTCTTGCTTGATGGTCTGAGAGAAAAAAAATAAGGTAAAAGCCAGTATGGGTTGAGTTCTCCTGCTGAGTACCGTGAATATTGTTGGCTGCTTAGTTTTCTTCACCGGGAGAAATGTGGGTTGCTCTCTCGAGAGAAGGTAAAGAGGATCAAGGTGGATACTTTGGCTCGTCTAATCGCTATTGTGGAGCCTACTGTGAATGAAGGTGGAAAGAAAAGATCTTCCTCGTCTGCTCAAGAGATGTTGGTTAAGAAAAAACTGAAAACTTCCTCCGCTGCTCGTGAAGGTCCACCTGCTGTTGAGAGGCCTGTGATTGACATGACTTATTCTAATGGGAAGAAAAATGAGGCTGCTAGATCTGAGCCTGTGGCGCCTGTTATGTCAAGAATGGCTAATTCGATTGTTAATAGTATTGCTCAGTGTAGAGGTCTTGTCATGCCCTTAGTGCCGAGGTCTATGCCAAGACGTCCGTTGGGAGCTAAGTCCGGTTCTTATTCGGAAAGGCTTGCTATTATGAAGAACGATAAGGTGGACTCTGCTGCTAAAGTGGCGCTAAGGCCCACTCCATCTGCTGCTGAGACTGATTCGCCTGCTGGGAAGGAGGAGACTGCTCGCGTGGGTAGCTGTGAGAAATCCACTAAGCCTGCTTTTAAAGAGGCTGCTGAGATATGTGTGCTCTTGAAACCAGATCTGCTTGAAGACATGGACGCTTGTGCCAAGTTTGTTGATGGCGTTAGAAATGTTTGTTTGCCCAAGTTCCTTTGTGAAGCATACAACCCAATATAGAAGGACTGCTATGCTTCCTATGATGCATATATAGCAAGGCTGCCAAGGAGGTGGTGAAGACTATGGCAGCTGAAGCTTATTTCTTGTCCGAGGAGATCAAGAGGTTGGACTCTGAGCTCGTTGCTTTGAAGAAGTCCAATATTTTTGCCCCCACTTCTCTATAGCTTGAGACTGCTCGCCAAGAGATCGTTGTCTTGAAGACTAGACTTGACGCGATCCAAGTTAAGTATGAAAGTGCAGAGAAGGAGATTGGAAGTTACATACCTCAGATTCAAGATCTTGAGTTTGCAGTTTCTGAGCTTCATTTCGCTGCTTATGCAAAGGATGAAGAGTTGATTGCTGCTTAGAATCAAGTGATCTACTTCAAGAGAATCGTTGACAAGCTTGAACCCCAAGTGTTGGAACTTCAAGGTGTACTGAAGATCAATGAAAGTTTGAAGAAGGAAGTGGATGAGCTGCAGCGTATACATGTTGGTCTACTCGAGGAGAATAAGCAACTGAAAGGTGAGAAGGATGGGCTCGAGGTTTCGAGACCTTCTCTATTTCTCCGGAAGACTTGCTTGCTTTTACTTTTAAGGCTTTTATTGTGAAGTAGTTGAAGAAGTTGGTGCCCAGGCTAGGGCAGCCGGGGGTGAAGCGCTGGATGATGCCGCTGTTAAAAGCGTCGCTGCTGCTGACTGAGTAGTCGTGGGATGTCCAAGCTGCTGGAATGTAGTCTTTTAGGTTGCCTTTAAGATTTTGTTTGTTTTTCCTTGTAGCTTTTTTTTTTTTTCTTGAACTCCTTTGGCCTTTCAAGTTGTTTAAAAACATTCTTCCTTCGCTTTCTTCATCTTCGCTTCTTTTGTTCATACCCTAACCTTTAGACTATATAGACTAGTGGCAGGCGTGCTACTTTTCTATAAGCAGACAAGCCCGCGTAGTCTATGCCGCCGTAGATGTTGATATAGAACTTTGCAAAGTTGTTAGCCATAGGGTTGGCAGCTGGATGCCTTACTTACAGAAGTAGACAAATCCGCGTAACCACTAGGCTGTTAACCTTGGCTTTCTCTAATTCCGTAGGTTGCATAACAAGTATCACAACACTTTAGGACTCGGTGTAAATTGTTCCGAGATTGGCAGAGGTAAAGCTTATCGACTACATAGCATGTCGGTAGTGGATAAAGCTTCGTATATGTATGCTAGCTTGTTTAACCTTTCACAAGAATGTGCAGTTGTATAAGTCTAGCATGGCTTTATTGCTCGAAGGGCAAGCTGTAGGCAGTCGTCTGGAAACCATAGGCTACCTTAGTGCACTCGGTAGCAGCTTTAGGGTTCCAGGGTAATCATCCATCGGATGTACTGCGTAATGTGCCCCCTTCGTCTCTAGGGCCCGGTTCCCCATGGATTAGGCCAAGAGACCCAAAATCCTTCAGTTAGCTAAGCCTTGAAAAAGACCATTATGGCTACATTTAGGAATCCCGGTGCAAGCCATCGTGCATCTAGTTATACTAAGGTAACCAGGCTCATCTATGTCTGGATACTCGGAGTGTAGAGTTTATCTTTCTGTCTTAAAGAGCTGACCCATGTGGGTGTTGGGGAATTGGTTTACCTTCTCGCACTGGAGAGCATGGTTGGTCCCTCGGGGGGGGGGGCACAATTCCTGCGATAAGTCCATAAGAAAGGCGCGATCTTCTTTTGAAGTGTTGAAGGGACTAGTTGTTTTAAGCATGCAGCTGAGCCAAGTTGTGATTACTTCTAAATTCCTCATTGAAAAATGAGTGAAACGAACGAGAACTTAGCTGTAAGGTAGGAACTG